GAGTGATAGAGTGGCTTTGGTGGACACCTGGTGTTTTGGCCAGGGTCAACCTACCACAACCTTTTGTCTTAAACTTTAGCTTAAGCTTGTTATAAACAATGAATAAAATTAACTCCTCTGATATTGGAGTTGTTATTCTCCTGGGGTCCATATCTCAAGGCTTCATCTTCTGATGCTGTTAAAATAGCTAAGAAATCACCATTAATTTTACACAGTAGTTCATCTGATATGCATCCAGTAGAAACACGATTTCCAGAGGATTTTACCAATTCATCAATTTTACAGAGAATCAGTCTCTGTGAAAAGCTAAGAGAGAACCGAAATGGTGAAATACTGACTATTTTAACAGGCTCACATAACCAATTTCAACAAGAAGCAATGAAGTCAAGCCAGAGTTAAAAAAAAAAAAAAAAAAGTCAAAATCAGATTGAGACCAAAGTGAAATTTTAGAACTACTATTGACCAGAAATTTTTCAGTCAAATAGAACTATTACTACAAAAGAAAGACAGAATATTAAACTTAATATTACAGATGCATCACTCTGGAATATTTTGATGCCTTCCCATGCCTTACTTGGAAATCTAAATCTGTTCTGGGATTCAGAGAGAGCGAACCGGTATGGAAGTTGAATAGAAACACTTTGTTACTCTGTTTGACCTCAGGCATTCAAAATGAACAGCAAAATGTAAAGCAAACGAAGTACAGCTGACATTGAGTCTTGCTCTGCCAGTCATACCTGACTTATTAACTACGGACCAATCTGCCTGCCTTCTGCCTTGTTGTTTTCTATGAATGAGAAAAATTCTGCCAACATTGGTAACACTCTCTCTCTCCTGAAGCCTAGTGACAGCTAGGACTGATGCTGATGACTAGCACCACCACTGTAGCAGTTATACAAACACAAATTTATATAGCTCCATATTATCCTTCATCTCTCCCAATTTGTCTCTGTTACTTTGTCTTAATCCCAGCCTGTGTGTTGAGGATGAGTTTGATCTTATTTCTTTTTCTACAGAAGGAAGTACCTAACCTTACTTAGGCTATAACAGTATTAAAATAACTAAGATGCATGGTCCTCTCCCCAACAATCGAATGTTATGCTGATTTGTGAAAGCATGATTTACCCAGAAAGAGTAAAATATTATTGCTAATTTACATATATGCAAATTAGATTACAAAAATCCACTGCCATGAAACATCCACACTGAGCTATTATACTGCATTTACACTGAACCGCCTGAGAATGGAAGGCTCATCTTTCATTGCAGCTAACCTGGTTGATTTCGACCTGGACAGGCCACAGGAAAAGGATAGAATAAGAGCCGGGATTCTGTTGGTAACTGGTGCTGCTAGCTGGATGCTCACAGCTTAAATTGGTGTGTACCTGAGTGACCTCAGAATTCAAAGTCAAAAGGGCTAGCTCCAACTGCAGCTGGCTGGAGCTATTTGTCTCTATGATGCAATAGGAGGGGTGCACTCACATTGCTGGCTGATTTCAGCTGGAAGGTGGCAACTAACAGTATCTTCCTGAGGCAATGGAGGGGTTGTGTGATTCCCTGTTCACTCTTGACGCAGGAAGCAGCTCAAGTTGCCTCAGGGGCTGGCTCTCCCCACATTTCCCTTTCCAGAGAGCTTTCAGTGAGAACAGAAGAGTGAGTGCATCACAGCACAGGTGACTGTCTGAAGGGTGCCAAAGCAGTGGCTTGACTTAAGACACTAGCCCTGGTTAAACAATTCTCAGGAGCATCCATTTCAAAAACACCTTCGCTACAAACACACCTCACATATCTGTGCCAGGTTTCTCTGAACAGTCTTCCTCCAAGTGTTGATTGTTACTAACATCCAGATAGACAGAAAGAATTAAACAAAACATGGTCCAGCACTCAGTAGTATTTCACCGTCTTCTGTGACTGTATTTTAAAAGACTACTTTCAAAACAACTGTGAAGTGCATGCAAGACTATATTACGCAGCAATAAAAAGGACAATACATAAGTTCATTAACTAAAAACCTTGACCTTTTAAAGAACAAATCTGTTGGAACTGCAAAAGTTTTTGGCCTTTCAGTTAGCTCTGTATAGAAGAATCTAATACCACAAGCAAACAGGATATCTCCCTTTTGCCCTCCTTTACAGACTGAATAAAGTACTTCTGGATGTAATTCACTTGAAAACAGAATGAATAAAGATCATTAACCTCACTGATTAAACCAATTCAATTTGTCTTATTTGAGAATTAATTGAAAGTTCTTAGACACACAAAAACGATTTTACAAATATGAGCTCTCAGTGACAACTAGTGTTAGTAAATTTACCTGCACCAAAACTGGGCCATCCCAATCTAACAGCAGCAGGAGTTTATTAAATGTAGCATGGTCTTGCACTCATAAGTACATCCCTATCCTTAAAAAAAATGCATAAAATACATAGTTTTTACAGCGCCCGTTCTCGTTTTGAGAACCTCAGCAGTATTTAATGCTTCATAATCAACAACAGGATGTTAAGGAATTAACATTGGTTAAAAAAATTACAACTCCTCCTGCTGTTTCATTTTATTGACAGAAAAAAGACTACTTACCAGAATTTTTGTAGTATAAGCACTGTTGATAGCGATTGCATTAACCAGCAAATCAAGGGTTTTGGCGGGTACAGAATCTGGGTCAGGGATCTCTTTGTAGTGGACATCACCAACGTAGGCTTGGACGACCGTCATCCGGTTGGTTGTCAGTGTCCCTGTTTTGTCAGAGCAGATGGCTGTAGCATTACCCATAGTTTCACAAGCATCTAAGTGGCGGACCAGATTGTTATCCTTCATCATTTTCTGAGAAAAAATCAAAAAAAAAAAACCTTCAAGATTTGCTTTGATAGATTTTAACATCAGTTATAAAAAGCAAGAAAGCATGTATTTAGTCTTGTTCATGAGAACATAAGGCTCACTGAACTAGAACTTTGACCGGGGCCAATAACACAAGCCCTAGTTACAGACAACCAAGCAGTGACTATCCCTGAAATAATTTTGCCTTTGATAAACTGATACAGTTCCATCATTTTTTTCAGCATATATACATTTTAAGGAATAGCTAGAACAGCAAAGGTAGCTAAAGAAACTGAAGACAACAGGATTTTTTAAACGGTATAATTATAGCAAATACTGAACTTTTTCTGATAGTATTTCCAATGTGAGAATGTTATCTTGCAGAACACAGAGGGACTGTACATTTTGGGAAAGAAAGGAAGAAACTAACAATCAAAAAAACCCCACCAAACAACAAAAAACCCCCCACAAGCCCCCACACCCACAGAAAGCCACCATTGCAGGGTACTCCATTCCACAGTGTGCATTTTTCACAAGATGCAGAGTCATTCTGGAAATGCATGTTATCCTTGTTTATATGTTTTCAATATTAAAAAAATTCTGTGCCCAATCGCCTGACCCTCACTGTCAGAGAGTATCTTCTGCTCACAGCGCACAATACCGGCAGCTGGACGCAAAGCTGTGCCGGAGTTTGGTACTGCCAATATAGATACACATGCATGTGCTGCCTGTGTTGGATGAAGGACATAAGGCGAACAGGAAAACACTTTAAAATCAGCTACAGTCTTTAACAGGAAAATCCGCTGCTTGATATACGCTCTTTTTTCCTAATAATAATGATGTTTGGCTACATATAAATCAAGGAATGCCTTCCTCATGTTCATACGTTAATTTTTTTACATACTAAATGGAAATAAACTTTACAAAATCTTCATCTAAGATTCCCAGAATATTTACATAAGGCCCATCTGACTAAATTGCTAAAACAATCCAAGAAAACTCCTAGATAGATAATAAGAGTAATCCAGAAGTCCAGAATTCTAATCCTCTAATTTCCTAATAGAATCATTTACCTTGGCTACAAAGAACCACAACTGCATTTAAGAAAAGTACATGAAAGCTCCAGTGAAACTAATTTATTTGAAAAGTGTTCCTGAAGATTTCAAATCCTTGTCAAAACTTTGTACTATTGCTCAAGAAAATCTGAAGACAATTATTCTGTATCAAAAAACTGGACTATTCCCTTAGTAAATTCTGCTCAATAAATTCCTGGTAACCTTGCAAAGTAAGTAGCTGTTTCTACTGTTTGACATTCCTGCACCATGTAGTTTTAAAGATATGTATTAGAATACGTATGTATTTGCATTTTTGTCAGAAATACTTTCAATATAAAGCAAAGTTTCACTTTCATTAATATTTTGAACACAATTTACAGGCCAGTTTTCATGACACTTGATAAAACCTGAAGACTAATTCACTAGTGAACTCAACTGAACAGCGTTTTTCTCCCATAATTATTTTTAATGTTCCTTACCTTTACAGAATAAGCCAGAGAAATAGTGACAGCAAGCGGAAGTCCCTCAGGAACAGCAACCACAAGTACAGTAACACCAATAATGAAGAATTTAACAAAATACTGAACATAGACAGGAGTGCACTCAGGCAACCACTGTTTCTTATTGACCACAAATGTGTCAATGGCGAAATATAGTACCAAAATTATTACAGTGATGGCAGACATCACCAAACCTGAAAACAGAAATAATCAATTACTATAAACCAAAACACAATTAAAAGCATGTGCAATTAGAAATCTACATTTGAATTTGATATGAAATTATTTTTTTATTCTGCATGACATTTTTCACCAGTACCACAATGATGACAATGATAAATTTTGCAATGTAGAAAAAACATTACTATAATACATTTACAGCAGCCATACATTCCAGTGAAGAAGCAAACACTGAATTCTACAGAATCGCTGAATCATACTGCATTAACTTTTAAGCACCATCTTACTCCTGCCTTTAAAACTTCTCAGTCAGTCTAGTTCAACAGGACTTCCACTGTTGCTTAAGCGAATCTTTTTCAATTAGTACATTACTTTGGCTGGTACAACATTTATCTGTCCTTTTAACCTCCACCTTTTACAAATTACTAGGCTATCCATATTCAAACAACTGTCTTTCTTTTAAATACGCTTATCTTAAGAGGCTTGAGAAAAAGAGTGTCCTGTAGTTTATGTTGCTGTATAAAATATTTTAGAAAAGCCCTACCGATGTGTCTGGCTTAATACAATGAGGCAACACTGCAGAATCATCCACAGAGCAGTTTTTAACTGTTTTTCTTGAAAATGTGATGAATAACACTGTTTCCAAGGTTTCCCTTTTCAAAGGGACATACTCAAACAGCGCATATTTTTATGAGGAGAGGCTCAAAAGAGGTACAACACTGACAGTCTATCACAAGAGACACTAATAAATATTTCACAGAATTCACAAAAGATCCCAGGGACTTCATGTGCTCTCCCAATGACACAGACTTTGTTAAGATAGCACTTCTCCACAAGTTTCTTCCTGGATTTGAGTATACAAATAAAAACTCATTGTAACATCTATTTTGCCTTGCTATGATTACTGCTGTTTGACAGGTTTCTATGAAGCAGTTAAGCCTCCATTTCAGAATAAATTAATTCCTCTCTAATGAGGTCATGCAGTAGAAGGATGCTGCAAATTTCATGTCTTGACTGAAGTTAAAAAAAAACCTGGTAAGCTGAAGGATGCTAAGGTTGACAGGAAACAGATGAGCCAGGGAGATTGCTAAATGCCAGAGAATAAAGGAAAATCCATCAAAATACTGTACAGGCAAATACTCATGACAATGTAAGACATCCCCATAGATTGCCCAATGACAAAGAAAAAACAAATGAGGCAATGATTAATTGATTTAATTCATATTACTTGCCACATTATGGTTAGAAATTCCTATGCAATTACTTTAAAAGTGATATTCACATGCTTGTTGAAATACCAAATGGAGTAATAATCAGAAGGCAATGTAGAAAGGTACTTATCTAAGAAATTAATGATCATGAGAAAGGAAGTGGTTTTGTATCCATGCATACTAGAAACAAAAGTAGAGAAGCTTAAGGAATATGAAACTGGGCAAAGCATGAAACTGGACAGTAAAGAGATGAAAACCATAGATTCCGAGCCATGCACCGTTCAAGCAAAGAGACAGGAGTGACATCATGGTGTTACATAATCAACTAAATGTAAAGAACTTAGAAAGGAATGAGAAGGAACAACAGGGGTGAAAATCAGACTGGTAAAGAAGGATGAAGGAGATAGAACAGAGGTCAAGTCAGGAATCTGCTGCAGGGCCTTAGCCAAGGATCCGGATAGAGACCAATATCCTTTAGTATCACTAAAAACCAAACCTAATGAACATTATTTCATTATGAAGGATTTTCACTTTCTACCTACATGTTGGAGAAGAGGTGCTACTTATAACAGTAGGGACCAGCTGGTACTGGATACAAGAGTCAACAGATGTGTCATATTTGGGTAGAAGGCAGGAACACGGAGAGAATAGAATTATTTCAGAATCCGTAAGAGGGAAATACTGTGTGAGTGATATTTTGAGATTATATCAGAGATTCTGAAACTGTGTACTAAGAAGTTCTAAGGGGAGAAGAAATTAAATGTGTAATTACTCACTTGGGAATACAGACTATGAGAAAAGCTACATTTCATTTTGATTCAAATATTCATTACAATTCAAGTTGCCCAAAGCTGCCAGTTTCTTGACAGTCAAAGCTAAGTTTTAGAAGAATAAAAGATCTTCAGAAGAATAAAAGATTTTCAATACCCCATGCTATCCTTGGAACACTATTATGAGGACCTATTTCTAAACATTGCAGAAAAAAGGCCTATCCCTTTTAAGAATAATTTGTTTTAAAAGTCTTTGTTGCTAGTAAAACACACTGCTATTCAGTCAGTTACCCAGTCATACCTGCTTTGCCTATCTGGACTGCCAGCTTGGTCAGCTTTCCCTGAAGAACAGATTTTTCTTTCTTGTGCATGTTGGATTTCTTCTTGTCTTTGTCATCTCCCTCTCCCCCTTCTGCACTCTTCAGTGGCTGCATCTCCATGGCAGCAGCCCCATCCTGCTGCTTGGCTAATAACAGAACAAAACTGTTACTCCAAACCTATTAATCATTCCTTTTATCTTAATGTTGATATTTACTGAATTCAACCAGCAACACCTGTTGTAGGGACCGATTTCAACACAGATGATTGTACCTATGCACAGAATTACACTTCACTCCCATGACAGACAGACGCCCCTCTGAGACCCAGTGGGGTTCTGCAGGGGCACAAACGCACAAGCATACCCACATGCACTCCATACACGTGGGGATATGTACTGTGCCACATGTCAAGTATCACCATTGATTTTTATTTATTTATTTTTTAAACCACCAATGACATTCTGTGCTATACACATATATATCACTCAATGTCTTGCAAATTACTTGGCAAGTAACAGCCCATTAGTAGTGCAGGATTTCCTAAAATGGCAGATCTCAAACGCTTCAGCAAATAGACTGTATTTCTCTAATTTTTGGTCTGTCTCGCAGATTACAATGCATCCTTGTAATCATACTTTTAATGAAAACATTTTAAAGGTAATGTGGTTCCACAGATGAGCTGTGTGTCACTTCCCTTGACTGCATGGGCACCTCAGTGACCAGCAGACCGCACTCTGTAATACCAGACTTAAAACATTTCCTTTAGCATTCAGTGTTCAAGTAACTTGACCATTGGGTCTGATGGTGATACCATCATCATTCTCCCATAAAATTTCACATAACTTAAAGGCTAAGTCATCCTTTCTGGAAAGAATGCTAATGCTAATATAAGGAAACTGAATTTTACTATCAAAGAGAAAGACATGGTTTTTTTAAAAGCAATGACATTCCAGTTTATATATGTGTATATGTCTGTTTCATATTGAACACGGACATAAGTCAACTAGAATGAGATGAAACAGCTTTGTTTTGACATTCATGAACAGGTTGTACAAACCCATGCTTATTTGACCTGGAATTCTAATTCATCTGTCTAACCTTAAAACTTATTCACTTAGTATCATATTATTTAATAGTTTTGTACTATTAATCTCTGATTCTATCTATTCAGTTTCTGATACATCACCTTTGCAATCTTTAGTATTATCTGAGAAGAGAAAGTTACAGTTTAATTTACTTATTTGGCATAACCCAAGGAAATCACGATAGCTGTGTCTCATATAATAAAAAGAGAACCATGACTTTTCTTCAGAGAAAGCAAAATATTTATTTCAATTTCTTCCTGAGATTGTACATGAAATAAGAATCTCCTAAGATTCTTAATCTTCCTGTCATTTATCCTTATAATATGTTTATATATTGCTAAATAAACTCTTGGCTTTAAAGTTTCCTTTTGTTATTGCTTTACCTTGTCCCTGCAAAAGAAAAGATGTCCGTACAATGCATTAAACACCAAAGATGATGAGACATATCAAAAACAGGGTTCGAAATTCACTAATGGTAAGTAGCATACACAACTTGCACAAGAAAAATGAATTCAAATGAACTTTGTGACATGAAAGCATCATCTATAAATGGCTTATTAGAAATACTGATCTTCTAAATATCTGACATATCAAAACTCTGTAGGTTACAACTTCTTTGGTAGGTTTTTTTTTTTGGTCGGGTTTGGTTGATCGGCATTTTTTAACATTCTGTTTGAGCAATAGGGCCATTTTTATACACAGGCACAAATCACAATTTTTTAATTTTATTTTTTAACAGAATTTAACTATATGCTAACAATAAAATCCAAAACCTCCTTTAATATGAAAGATTACCTTTGTTCTGGCTGTTCTCCATATTCCCATCCTGCATTTTGCCTATATGATGAAAAATTTCAACAGACAACAGACAGTAAACAGTCTTCACCCAAGACAGAACATGAAAATGGGAATTTAACTAAAAAGGGTAGACAAAAGTAATGAGCATGTTACAAATACTTATTTATGATCAGTAGCTATTATTATCATACATTTACTGAGAAGCATGGACAACTTAGCAGGACACATTCAAGGAACTGCAGTGAAGTTCATGTAATAACATGTAAAATACTAAACATCAGCACATATTTTTGATCCAATTGCATAAATGAAGAGGGCGAAACTAATAAAAAGAATTCACTGGAAAGCAGAATTTTAATAATTTTAACTGAAATTTCAGAGAGCTGGGACTTAAAATAACCACAGGTATAACTTTGGCACACATCAGTATAGAGTACGCCTTTCTTAACGTATTCCAGAATTGGATTCATTATTTTAGTAAATTCAGACAAAATATAAATAGCAGTGCTAATAAATATAAATAAATAAAAATGTAAATCAGATATTATTTTAAAATTACACCTTCCTTGCTGAGTTGTACTATTTAGCAAGTTACTCCTGTAAATACCAGTGGCAGGTGATCATCCTATATTCAGATTTATCCTTACAAAAGATTTGCCAAGTTAATCTGTAATTTCCAATTTAATATAGTCTACATGTAGTCTTACCATACCAAAGTCCTTATTTTTTATTTTTTTTTTAAACTGAAAATACACCATTTGGAAGTGTATGAAATAAAAATGGCAAAATACAAATCAGAGCATACAAAACTTTGGTATTCAGCATAACAGTAAACAATTTCAAATGTAATCAAAATTTCTTGGTGGAATCCCTTATGAAAATTTCATAGCAATATATGAATTTATCTTTTAGAAAAGAATACTTGAGTTTTATAAATATTACATTCTGAATGGATGACATTCTTTTTGCAGTTATGTATAATGCACAATAAAAAAATAATGCTAAAGCAAAATAATAGTTAAAACACTTTTGCAGGATTTTTGACGCAGTCTAATAAGAAATATATCACCAGAGTTTATAAAAAAATATGACAGCAGTGAAGTCTTGCTCTTCTGACTTCCTGCAGTAATACAGCTGGCACTGACATGCACAATAAAGCAGCAGAAATTATGCTTCAACTTCTGTATTATTTTTTTACTCTATGCTGTGAATATATAGTAGCAAAATGGTAAGGCTGAGGTGCATTTCTTGCATGTTAGTATTTTCAGTAACTGGGATATCACTAAAAACTTCCCTCTCATAAAGAACAAAAATTTCCAAATCTGTCACCATAACATTTCAGCCCATACTAATACCAATAATGAGAAATTCAAAAGCACAGAATTATTGTAAAGGAAGGGATGTCTTGCTACATATAATCTTCTCAGTACTCGGATTACTAAAGTATGCTGAAGTAAACCATGTAGCATCAACTCCTTGTCTATTCCCACCTTGGCTACAATCTGACTTTTAAAAAGGCAGTATCTGCCTTCCAAAGGCTTATATTTTGCCATGACACACAAATCTATGAACCTGAACAAAACCAAGGTCATTTTCATTGTGAAATTTCCTTAAAAATTTTTACATACAGTGCATAGTTGAACCTGATATCTGCCTAATGGCTGTTTTTCTTGGAATGGTTTTTATTAAAATGAGAGGAAGACATAAAACATCTCTAGGGATTCTGATTTCTGGCTAGAGGATAAAGCCTTCTTTAAGAACTGGAAAACATTAATTTAGAGCAGGCAGTCTGCTTTATGTCCTGCTGTATAGCTCCTTTTTCAGAATACAATTCAAAATCTTACAGCAGTATAACTGAAGATTCTTCAGCTTAAAAAACAAAATAAAACCCAAACCCATGACTTTCCTAACTGGCAAACATAAAATACACTGTTTTTTCTATGTACATTAAAGTATTTAATTTTATGATATTTACTTGCAACTTAATAAGGAAATCATAATTGTTCTAATGAATTACACTAACACTTCCTCTACCCTGGCTACCTAAAAATACCAGTATACAAAAGGACAATCGTTAACAACAATGTAAGCTTCGGTATTTAAGAAATCTATTCTTAAGGTCAGCAGCTACTGCATTTAGGTCATTGGGGGACAAAAAGTCATCACAGCTAGTTATATTCCAATTATTTAGATATAATAACCAAGAACAGGTAATTTAGGTAATTACGATAAAGAAAAGAATGCTGTAAAGGATTTATTTCCTCCTGTTCCAAATAATTTTAAGCCCACACTTCACTATAAATTATAAACGAAGGAAGAAATTAAGAAAGAAATTAAGATGATAGAATCACTACTGCTGAGAGATCCTTTCTCCTTTCAGTTAGTGCCAGGACCAGAAATGTTATCCCATCTTTATGACTTGTGTGCATTTTTTAGAAATATTAAAAGGATATGTATTAATATTTTGATAATATTTTTACATATAATGCTTCAAAGAGATTTTTTTTTTTACATAATTTTGCAATTTTTTCTTCTTTTCTTTTTGGAAATAAGTAAAAGGAACGGTGCTTGGGCTCTGCAATCTGGAGGAAATCATCTGAGCTTATTTTAATCACTTTTCTAAGCAAGGATGAAAAATTGGAAGGTTTAGAAAAGAATATAGAGCCTCCTACCATGGCTTGTATTCTGAACTTGCTTTGAAGGGCTTGAATTTGAATATAAAATGTTTTGCGCGTTGCCTTTGCCTTACTAAAATTTCTGTCTATTGGAACATACTCATGGCACCATTGCTGCCAAAGCTCTTAGTCCACAAGACAGCTACTTCTCCAAATAAACTTTCCAAGAAAAGACTCCCTTTTACATCCCCTAGCCCTTTCTGAAGAGTCAATGATACAAAATAACAAAGACCTATCACTGGCACTAGAATTTATTTGTTCATTGGAGGAACTGCTTGGAATCAACTAAAGCAGATAATCGAGTTGTGTTCTCATGTGCTGTGATGGAGCAAAAACCATAAAATACCCTACTGATTTTCCAGAATGTCTCATCTTGCAATAGAAATGAGTTACAGCCCTCTTCATGCCAAGTCAGTTATATTCTAGAGCTATAAGAAGAGACACAAATCTATACATAGGGGGAAAAGTGATATCAAACATATCTGAAGTGGATCATTAGGAATTCTTTCATGTAGTGTGGTATCAGAGCCAACGCATTAGTAAAACACAGGTTAACTACAAAAGAATAAATCTGATTCCACTGTATCACATAGGAAGCTTTAGATAATTCTTCTATGCGCTCACTGAATAACTTCACTTTCAATTTAGTAAATACTTCAAAATATATTAAAACTGAAAATTGCTTTGCAGGAATTGAACAGCACTGAACAAATGTCAGCACTGACAGAATTAACAGCAGATGTAAAGTATTTCAGCTAAGACATTTCTCTGAGTCTGGTATGGTATTTCTCTAACAGAATATAATTTTAAGTAATGAATCTTCTGAGTACCAGATGCTCCAAAAGACCCAACAACCTAACATGGAAATCCTGATTTAGCAATCACGTAGTGCTCTCCTGGACAATGATAAGCACTCCTTTCTCTAAGGGGTAAACAGGCTGTAAACAGTGATTGTTGCTTCCCCTATTTTCTGTTGAAAATTTTACCTTTTCTAAATACGACACTTTAAAATTAGATGAATTTTCATTAATTACTACCTTTCCGTAAAATTTTCTGATCTGCTTATAATCTTAACTTGTTACCTTTTAAAAACTGAACATATTGTCCATCGTTTTAACAAAGAGACCATAAAACAATTATGTATTTTAACCTCAACTACTAGAACCCAACAGAATTTATGATAGTTCCTTCGATACAGCAGATAACAACCAGGCTATGTCACAAACCTGTATGAATTGATTACTATAAGCTCACTGACAGGAAAGAAAATACTTCTTTTGTGTCAACTGTGTATCAACAAGTAAGACAATAACAGTATTTTGTTTGAAATGGTAATGTGTTGATTTTCAAGCAGCAAGCAATAGTATTTCCTGAGCTAAGTACTTATTTAAGTATATAATAATTTTTTCTTATTTGAAGGTATTTTCTATACAGAGGTATTAGACTTTGGGTAAAAATGCTTGTTCCCAGTCACATCTCAGGGATAATTCTCAGACATTATTGAAATAATTAATTCCACTCAAACTGACAAAATATCTACATGAACTTGCTCTCCTTACTTTAGAATTTATTTTCTTCCTTCCTTTCTCCCCTCCAAACCCCCTGCAAAACACATCTACATTTTCAGTATTCTCTAACTCATAGTCACTGCTAACAAGAAAAATGTATAGTATAAACAGAAATCAGACTTTGGCAATTTCCCAGACAATTTCAAACCACTCAAGATTTGGCAACTCTACTTGCCAAGTCTTGTCGCTCCTCTGAAAACAATGTCAGATAAATTGAATTGTGGAAAGTATCTCCTCTCCATGATAATCAAAGACCTGCAGAATTAATTCAACAACCTCACCTCAGAGGAGTTAAAAGCAAAAACATACTCAGCTGCACAAAAAAATGGGTTCTACACTTTGTGCACTGAAAAGAATTGAGTATGTATCTCCCAATTTCAAGACAAACAGGGACAGTAACTACTGTTTCTGATGGGAGAGATTATGACGGAAAATCACATACTTAAGACACTGATTTAATAACCCTTGGAACTCAATTTCCATATTAAGTTCAGGCATTAAGACTAAACACAACAGATATTTACCAGGCAACTAAAACTAGCTAACAGAAAGACCACGTTAGAATAACTTCATTTCTGCATCTTGCTAAGCAGCAGTTCTCATTCAGCAAAGTACTTAAGCAGATACTTAACTTAGCACTCAGCCACTTGCAGGACTCAGCATAAAGGTAATATTGCAGTCTCCAGTGCGATTGAGGGAGGGTATCTGAAGAGTTTGTTGTATGCGTATGTTTGTCTTACACACAACAGAGTAGAATTATAGAGCATAGAGAATGGAGAATGAAATATTCATCACTAATTTCCTGGTTGTTGGTCTCTATGGAATATTAAATTGGGCTGCTGGAACCAGGATACAGGTTCCTGTCTTGCAGCGAGATGCAGAGATTGTTTCCAGCAAACTTAGAATATGCAGGAGTAAAGTTTTAAATCTTGTTATATGCTTTTTTAAATTACAAAAAAATTATTTTAAAATAGGCTCACAGATTTCCTATATCATTGCTTTAAATAAAGTGTTACACCAGTAAACCTCAGTACTGTTTAGTACTTGGTATGGCTATGTCAGAGACTCTAGTTTCATATGCATAATGCAACACCTACTGACCAGCACAGAAAAATATTTCTATCAATCAGCAACGCAATGAAAAGTAGAATTACTTTTGTACAGCACCAGTAATACTGACAAGAGCGAAAGGTTTCTATAGCAAATAAAGACTAATGTATCTGATTATCAGAAAAATACAGCTGATGCCTAAACTAATATTGATCCTTTCTATTTAATTAGAATTAGTCAAGATACTGAAACATTTGCATACTAAGAAGTGGGGTCAAGAATCTGTACTACAGTAATTTTTTTGTCTTTTTAGTGAATACAGGCAGGCTCATTAAATGATCACTACCTAAGGGCACACACAGATATCCAGAAACATAACTTTTCAGTCAGTCTCTTCCAAAAAGGATGCTCAAAGCAGCAAAAGTTACTCCTAACGCACTGTCAGTTGAAATTGAGCCAGATTCCTGATCCCAGCACTATTTCTACGAACTACACGAAGACCATATGAATACCTATGAGAGTGCCACATCAGAAGAAAAGAAGTGATAATCCATGTATCACAGTGTTGCTCTTCAGATCTATGCTGACAAACGTGTAAACAGCTTGACAATAAAACTTGATGTAAAGGCAACTCAGAAGTTTTGAAATTAGCGTTACTTAACTGTTCCTTTTAACTGCTGTTTTAATTAATGGCAAATAGATCATAAATCCTACTTCTTCCTCTCCCACACTTAATTCTGTGTGAATAAAGTAAGTCACAGCATCTTTGTGGCATCTCTTATAAGTTCCTATAGAGTTTAGGGAGTAGGATCTCTCAGAGGGTAATCACATGCACATACAGCATCTGTGCAGCTCATTAAAGGAAGAGGGAATCTTATATAGTCAGAAGATAAATTTAACAAATAAAACAAGCTAGGTGTTCTTGACGTACCATTGACTAAGCTGGCATTTGCATTATCAGTGGCATTTTCACCTGCTGCACCATCTGTAGCTGAAGGAGTGTGGGAGGAGGGATGGGAAGAATCTACTGAGCAATAATGGATAAAAAACCAATAAATAATAATAATAACAACATGAACAAATGCATATGACAAAACAAAAACCATTTATAGCATACTATGGCTTTGTTTCTTGCAAAATCAACGTGTTTTAAATTAATTAACATAAGTTTCAAAAGCAAAATGTCATTACGAAAGTGCTACAAAGTGAGGCAAAAACTCATACATGGAAGAAGAATAATTAAATAAATAAATATGAAAGACATTTAACAAAGTTAATGAGAACTGACTGTACACAGCACTATGTACATTGCATTGCTTTGGTCCTTTTACATATAATTTTTTTAACTTTAATATAACGTTCTACAAATATTAAAATGGTTGAAGTATTTCCCTTGAGTTAATGAATTTAGGCAATGCATGGGTAGTTTTAAAATATGCAGCATACCACATAGCATATACAACACTACATATATTCTATTTTATGTAATGTTGCATATTATGATGTATTATTGCTGATACATCCCAGTCTAACATGGGCTCAATCTATGTCCTGCCACAACCTAGTTAATATGCACACTGATCTGAGTAGAAACATTAAACTTTTAATATTGTATGTGGAAATGGCAAATATAGCCTTGAGGAGAATAATGTCTTCTTTTAAATCCAAACAATAGACATTACATAATTGCCTGTTTTTGCGGTGAAATGAAAAAAGTATCAGAAAATAAAATCCTCTTTTTGGTTTCAGCAATTATTTGCATATTAGAGAAATTGGTCAAGAAATCTTTCCTAACAGCAAGGTAAAAAACTTGAAGATTTTATCATTTTATTGTGTTTTTTATACTAGAGTTTAGAAAATTAGTCTCTACAAATAATAGACAAAGTAAGTTTTTTCTTGTTTCTCTTGGTTAATTGTAACAACAGAACACGGAAGTCCTATAATGAATCTTGAGGACTTGAAGGTTCTTGAGACTCTTGAACTTCTTCAGTACTTGACCCATAGTGACTGTTTCACACTGTACTGGTTTGTTATTCAAGAAAGCTGGTCTTGTTTTATTCACAAATAGTAAATTGGGAGAAGAAAATAAACATTATGCAGGATTTAAAAACAAACCCTGTGCATTTACATTCATGAAAATTTCAATTGCAAATTTGATTACTGTGATGGCAATAACTTAAATTGTTTTAGTTACTCACGCTTATTCCTTTATTCCATTTGGATACTCATACTAACCAGCACAGCATGAACTGCTAACAGCAAATCATGCATTCCAACATTTAATACACTGTAATTTACTTATGGAGAATAAGTGATTATTCAAGCTTAACATTAAGATATGCAGCACCAACAATGCGTGCACACTTAAATGTCTGCCACGAACAATCCTGTTGATTTGCAATTATTCTCTAATTTAACTGGACTGATTCAAAGACAATTATTTTAATCATTATTTCAACCCTGATTTGCATCAAAGCTTGCTGGCTAAAAGCCTCATCCTTTCATTTCATGTGGTACAATTCTTACTCTACCTGGAAGCTGGTGTCCATCCTCCTGTTTCACACCTGTATGATGATTTTTACAAAATGTTAATGAATAATAAAAGCATATGCCCACATAAGACTGAAACAAACATTTATGACTGGCAGGATTTCAGAGAACTGCAGGTTTATATACAAGAGTATGTTATTTGAGTTTGGATCTCAATCTGCAACCAGCTCTGCCCAGGCACTTCTCTGCAGTAGCACAAAGCTGCCAGCAACATTAGGAAATGTGAAGGCATTTTCCTGGTATTGCAGCTATACCCAATTAGATGCAGTGTCTGCCCAACAAGTTCTTACACACCTCTGTAAGAATCTCTGGCTCTGGGTAGTAAGTTATGACCACAGCGCAGTGCATTATTCTGCTACCTCTGATTTCTCTCTCCCTGTCTTTCAAGGCTATCTGCATCGAAACATGGGAGAATCACCAGTGTCCTGAGCAAAATAACATACAGAGAAGGCCAACCCAGTTAGAACACAGGACCTCAGGGCAGACAGCTTTGACTTTCAAACAGGTACTGAAGTTGCTCCTTCTCACCTACAGTATCCTTAGACACTGCCAAGACAGATGCTGCCAGATCTCAAAAGGTCTGTCTCTAGCAGTCCTTCTCATAATGTTAGCAAGATTAGACTCTAAGGTATTGTTCAAAACTAGTCTGACATGAAAGAGTTTTACTTTGGGAAGTTGCAGTCTTTCTCATTTTAATGTTCCTAGAACTTACCATGCCTAATCAGTATTCTGCATTTCTGTGTAGAAATGAAATGGTATACATTTCATAAAGTGTCACCAAGGGAAAGGGATTTCCTCAGAGAAATATGGAGTCAAGTGCAACCACTTGCTGAACATGCTCAGAAATGGAAACTGTAGGTCATGAAAAGCATTTGAATTTGGGCTTCCTATCTGCAGCTTCAAATTAAAAGCATGGAAATGAAAAAAAAAAAAAAAAGGTGGAATCACACTGCCTGACAGATACCAAGTAAAACGTTCAGTAAAGCTACAACTACTCTTTTTTATCAATCATGAAAAGCACTAAAAAGAGTAGAAATATCTAAACGCCACATATTAATTAGCCCTTTATCTGAAAGATGAATATTCTTAGAACAAACTTGGAACAAAATTCAGAAAGTAAACTTGAACAATTTACAAGACTGTATGAACAAAAACTGGGAAGGACACACACTAAGTCACATTTCTGCTTAGTGTGCAACCCAGAAATTATCAATTGCTTATGAAATCACACTATAATAAGGTGAAAAGTCTAAAAAGACTTCTTGATTTCATTAATTGATACAGGACATCGAAGTTAAACTCTGTTAACATTTACTGCTACTTTCTTGTCTTTTACTATACTTAGGTTGACCTTTACACCTTAAGAAATTAAAATGTCTCTAAAGTCAGCTACTGACATTGAACAAGCAGGCTAGCAAAAAGCCACATCTAATCTTTATTCTGTTCTTGAAGTTCAAAGACAGACACTATTTCCACGGCCAAGTTTTTTTTCTGAAAAAAAATAAATTACGTGGATGTAAATGCACAAGAGCAAAACCTTCGCAACTTTTAGGTGAGTATAGATTTATGTAAAGAAGACATGGCAATGGGAGTCTGCCGTGTATTCCCTTGCATTTTATTATCCCTTGCATTTTATTATGTACTGAGAGTCTGCAATTTCACACTGGAAAAACCTCTTGTTATCCAATGTATTTATTGGTTAACAGCTTTTGCTTTTTTTCTGTGTGACATATAATGAGAAAAATGTATACAAAAAAGGAAGTTTATAAAAATCATATTTATTTGTCAAGAATGGAGGAGAGCTCTAGCTACACAAAGCCCAAAAGCCTTCTTTGGAGCATCCTTATGTGTTGTGAAATTTACCTTTCTTATCTTTCTTTTCTTCTTCTTCTCCTCCAGCACCTAGCAGAGTAAAGATGATGCCTGTCTGAGAATTCACACCCACAGCAGTTACAAGCATTCTTCCAGAGCCTTCCATGACATGAGTACCTGAAAATATGCAATGTAAGTTATATATAAGTTTATATAAATAAAAACAACAACGATTAAATATTTTATGCAAGACTTTCACTATAGTACTTAAAAAAATCTATATTGAGGCCATTATAATTACATATCAAGAATAGTCCCTATTGTGTACTATCCTCAAACAAGAATGGATGCATAACTGCAGATCTTCGGCTCCACATTCATTAATCACACACATCAGAATCCCTTTGTAAAAGAAAAGTTGCCACTAACCAAGTTTACATAATCTTGGAAGACAGTAATTACTGAAATTTTGAAAATATTTTTTCAGAGTTCTACAAACATTCCTCTGTGACTCTAGTCAAGATTACACTGACTGTACATGGAATACCGTATCATAAACGAAATGAAAATACGTGTGCAATTTCCCTCATCTTCCTCAGTTACAGCTGATTTACAGGCATAGAAAAAGAATATTTTTGAAGACAATTTCACATCTTCAAACTTGAAAAATCAATACAGAGAAAAATCTTCAAGGAGATGTTTAATTAAATCACATGATTCCCCAACAGCAAGAAGAACCTGATGTACACTTAAAACAAATTCAGTATGAGAGATTTCTACTACTCTAAATCAAATCATAACATACATTAAGTTTTTCTGAGAAGTATCATTTGTTTAACTAGGTAATTTTTTCATTATATTAAGTAAATGCCTTTTGAGAAATATTTCAATGCTTTATTGTATAGAAATGCTTTATTTACAGCTCTTATTCCTCTATTGTTAGATGCATCTAAGATCACAGCCTCTTAGAAACCTTTTGCTATGAGTTGTGCAAACACAAGCATATAGAAATTCCTAGAAATGATCTAAAACACTCTGATTTACATTTTGGAAAAATTTTATAACAGAGGATTTGGAAAAGATCAGTCTATGCAATTGCACACTGGCTATTTCTAAAAAAAGTTTGAAATCAAGGAACAGCCTATTGTTACGACACGTATTTAATGCCAGTTACTAAAAGCTTATTGAAAAAACCTGTCATTGAAGCATAGGAACAAATGTGCCAAGGATGGCATGAAATTACTAATTTGTCATTTCATATGGTGACAAAGTCTTAATCTAAGAAGTTCATTATTGAAGTAATATTTTAAAATGTTTGAAGAGAGATATCCTTAGCAGGTAGTGAATTTTAAAAGATATAAAGCAGTTCAGTAGTGCACCTATGAAACAGATGAAAAAAAAATACATGTTGATCAGAAAGTACTGACAGATAAAGCTCTGCATTGAGATAGACTTCATATTTTATCCTCTAGTAGCAGAAAATTATGTTATGCCTATTAAGTGTATGTCGCTGGGAGAACACAAAGGAAAAGCAAACGCTTCTCAACACAAAGTTGACAGAGTAAGCTGGGATTAAAAGTTTACTGGGCTTAGGTTTTTTAAAACACTCCTATATTTGAAGAATGAAGTAGCTTGGAATCTATGAAAATAGACCGTAACACACAAACCATTAGCCTTGAGAAAAAAATCATTGCATACAAAAAAACCCAAATACATATTTATAGTTTATCCAGTGTTTACCAAACATTATTTATAGTTCATCCAAGTGAAGTATGCATGGACACATGGTTAACTAGACCCTGCTCAGAAAGTATTCTCTTATTTAACAATTGCTTTTAATCCTAGGTGCTTAAGTTCTAAATAAATTATATTTTAAGACCAGTCATTATTCCAGACTTGCAGCTGTGGGGCACCAGAAGAATGAGACTAGATGGAATGAGAACACAGTCCAGTAATTACACTTTCCTTTGTGGTGGGATGGGGGAGGTGGGTGCATGGAGCGAGAAAGAATTTTTACTCTTCTTCTGATGGTTAAGAGTCTTTAAGTCAACTAAACAGTTTGACCATTGTGGTAATAAACCAATTATACTGCTTATAATGCTCTCTTTACTCTTTGCCTTGTCACTGCAGCATTTGTGACAAACTATTATTCTTTGATGGGTTATAATCTATTGTTCCTTAGATCCTCACCTCCCTTCACAAGTTACATTGTACTGCTCTACAATTACCCAGTTTGCCATGAATGTATGGTTCTCCATTTACCTTCCTTAAGACAACATCCCTGTTTCATTCATTCTGTAACAGCATGAATTAGGTAGAGTCATTAACTGACTTGTCCTATACAATTCTGTGGCCAACAGGGTAAAAATTCTCATATGCTTATTCTCAACTATCTTGTCCGTCACTTACCCACTACCACGATTAACTACCACCCAGTATTTTAAAGCTAGTGAAGTTGTTCACTGATGCCTGTAGTTCTGAAGTGTACCACTGCAGGGCACACCTGAAGCCATAGTAAAAAAAAAAAAAAAAAAGAAAAAGAAATCTTGGAACAAGCTTTCTGCAAACTCCTGCAAAATGGCTTTTAACCAACTGAATTGTGAGCCTGTTGCATTGAGCAAATGGGGAATATAATTAATTTCTCATGGAGAATCTCATTGGGCATTCAGATCTACTAAACCTGAATGGCCACGGAAAGATTCTTTCTCTCCTCCCTTTTTACAAAACATTCTGTTGGGTTCATCCTCACCTACATAGATTCATTTCATTGAGTTATCTCAAAAGCTGAAAAAAAGAAAGATATATGGACCTGTGTCCTTGTAGAGAGGTAGGTGCTGGTCTCTTCTCACAGGTAACTACTGAAAGAACAAGAGGGAATGGACTCAAGCTGCACCAGGGTAGGTTTAGGCTAGACATTAGGAAAAAATTTGCACTGAAAGGGCTGTCAGGTATTGGAACAGGCTGCCCAGGGAGGTGGTGGAGTCATCATCCCTTAATGTGTTTAAAGGTCGTTTAGGTGTGGTGCTTGGAGATACAGTTTAGGGGTGTACTTGGTGGAGTAGGTTTGATGGTTGGACTTGATGATCTCAAAGGTCTTTTCCAACCTGAATGATTCTATGATTCTATTCTATGAATATTTTATATATATACATATGTACACACATACACTTGCAATCCTTTTTTTTTTTAAATCCCATTTTCTTATTACTGCTCATCCAGTTGCTGTCCTAGAACATACTAAGCAATGCAACTACCTATTTATAACCAAAATATCTTTCTCTAAATAATCAAAATCTCTCATGTTCTTAAAAGGAAAAGAGAACCGAGAGAACATCTGTCAAGACTAAGCCTAATTTGAGAGCATAGATATCTCATCAGAACACTAAGAAAATTTCAGCAGAAATGAGCCAAATAAAAACAAAAGTACACTAATGGTCAGATGTATTTTTTTTTTTAAAAAGGCAATAGACCTTCTCAGTGCATTGAGAACTGTTCCTGTGGATTTCTGAGATAAAATTAGGTTCCTTAAAGAGACACCTGCTTTCTTCCATACAATAGAGCAAAACATCACAAACACATAAAGTAGGACCACCACCCAAACAACAAAAACCAAGTTACATTTAAGTTTAAAGGAACAGAAAAGACCTTTAAAAACCAGAGTATACCTGGTTGTACTGGTTCAGACAAAACAGAAAATGTCTGAAATTAACTCAGAAATTTAGAGGAATCTCCTTTAATATGTAACACCATTTAAAATATATTTTAGTTAAGAACTTGCTTTCAGTGTTCCTATATTTTGTTTTGAAGGAATCTTCTTCTGTATTGGACTATAATGTGAGTAGAAATATCCTCCAAAAAATGGCATGCACACCAATATTTCAAAAACAGCTTTATTAAGAAAAAACATGCACCCACCAGATCTCAACCTCATATCTGCATACCTGGAAAGGGCAAAAATGTCTTGTCTTGCAATGCCTTTCTGAACCTTTTCTTAACACTAGTCTTGTAAAACATAATCCAAAACTGTTGAGGTGCATACAAAAGCATGTTTTAGAGCAGGTACTAATTTATCATCAGATTATGTTCCACTAGTACTTTTGGAAAAATTCTTCAGCATCTAAGCTAAACCAAAGAGCTGAACCTCCTTCCACCTAGCTCTGGCAGTTTCATCATTTAAACAGTATTGTATTAGCTTGAATAAAGAAATGGGCTCTATGATGGCAATCAGCTGCTGTTATATAAATGGAATTCCACAAGGAAGGCATGTTTTTCACGGATCTGCACACTAAGCATGTATTTCAATTTCATGTCGACTGACTTCTTTCCCTCTCAAGACTCATTTTTCAATCTTAGTAAAATACATTTTTTCACATGCTGAGTATTTAATATGAAGTTGATCAATGGTGAATATTCCAAGGCAGAAAAGGAACAACTCCAGTTTAGTAAGAAAACAGATGAACAGATTAGACAGTTAAGGAACCTATTACAGCACACACTTTTCAGACAAAAATGCAACTTAACATGAGACTGCTCAGAAACCCCTAAAATCTAATAATAGTACTGGTGAAATAGATTGGAAATAGGGCTGAAAAACAAGAAAAGAAAACCAGAGCATGCCAGCTTGAGGGTTTTATACTGTTTTGCTACTTCCAGTAAACTCGTGGTGAACACAAATTCTCTATCAGCATATCTAAACAACTGTTTTAGTCACTGCAATTATTAAAAGGTGATTTAAGTTAATAATAAAGTGAACCAACCATCAGAATATCCTCTTTGAAAAAAATATAAGAGTTTTCCAGAAAAAAACTCATCCACAAGTAATTTCAATATATCCAAATAATTTGTAATTTTTGAAGTTAGCTGCGCGGTTCTGAAAATTTCTGCTGTGCTAGAAGCCTAGCTTGGAATATTTTCTGGCAGGGCATTAAGGCAGACCTGAGAACTACTTTTCTCCAGGCAATAACTGACCCGATTCCTTAACCAAGCTTGCTTTTTATTTCCAAAATCTAACAAAGCACCATTACCAAGAGGTTTCTATTGTTTATTTGTTCTTGAATAAACCGTTTGATTTGTTTCAAATCCTTGTTGCACATTGATAGAAATACGCATTTGAAAAATTTAGGTTAGGATAAAGGGATGTTCTGTCAGTCTTAGTTCAGTAAGAACAACACTAGATGAGCTCCTCTACCTAACTATTTCATACCTTAATCAAATTAAGTTTTAAACAGTAAGCATTATAAGGTGTTTTTTACAATGTTAACTATTTTAATACGTAGTACACCAAAATACTTCACTGTGTGGAATACTGTGGCTAGACTCGTATTCAAAACTTATTTATTTAGGAATCACTGATTTCTGCCATCTTTGCACTATACAAAACTTAAAGGGCACATGAGCTTCAATCAAGACAGTTAAGTTGCAGTCAGCTTGGTTACTCAAGCCATCTTCATCTGTTGGCTGATACATGCCTACGCTCATTGCAAAGAAATTTAACATCACCACAGTCTTGTTAAAGCTGATGACTTTTGATGCAACGACTTATGCTACACCATGCGTGCAACTCTCTGTTAATGAACTAAAAGAAGGAAAATGTTTTAGACAGAAGTACAGTGGAACTACAGAACAGAAGCTGTTCTTTTGGTTTCAGGTGTATCAGAGTCTGTATTTCCATTTCTGCCTTCCTAGACGGTACCAAATGTGCTATGTACAGATGGAAATGAACCATCTGGTTTAGTCAGCACTTGCACTCTTAGAATTGCTTCTCAAGTACAGTAAAAGACTATCTGGATGATTAAACAGGATATTAAGCACAGAAACTCATTTAGTTTAATTATGTCATTAAAACTGATTGAATATTAAAAATGTTGTTTCAGGTGCCAATGGTGAAAATAATATTTCCTGATTCAGGGTGTTTATCTTTCACCAAATTTAGAGTCACAAAACAAACTGTGGCTGCATTTCAAATGTTACCTTTTTTCAGTTATTCCTGACCCATTTTCCTTTCCAATAGATGATTAAGGGAGAACAGTGGCAAGCAACATACTGGCAATATTTGTCTAAATTCCAACTGCCTCCCTGGAGATAGCTTACTTACATCTTTAAGGGTGCAAAGATAAGAGGAAAATTTAAGGTCTGTTTGATGTTTTTGCGGGGTGTTGGTTTGTGGGTTTTTCTTTTTTCTTTAAACAAATTTTATAAAAATACAGGTCTAGGCTAAGACCCAACAGGAATTCTGTTTTTAAACCAGGTCAAACCTTCTCTGAAAGACATGGTGGTTTCCAAGCTTTTGGTTTTGGACTACTGACAATTTCCAGCAGGCACATCAGCTCCCGCATCATTGGGATTAAACATTGCACTGTATCTATGGGAGAAGGTAGTTTTTTGCATGATAGAATCTCAAATCACCAACTCTGCTCCCAAGCAAATAGAGTTCAGGTATGTTCTAACACCACATGACTTACTAATCAGTAGTATTAAGTATGGAACAAAGGTGTTTGCAGTGCTTGTTAAAATATCATATGATTTCTTCACCTTCTTTGTAATCACAATAGAGATTACATAGTAACAGAGAAAAATGAAGAGTTTATTTAACTCTGCAATAAAAACATAATGACAAATTTCTCTCTGCATAGCAAAGAAATTTGAGTTTTGGGAAGCAAAAACATCTTTTCTCCTAACTTGACTGCTTTCCCTTTCTCTTCCGACCATGCCTTTCAGGGAAATACCTTCATTGTTTTTCACAGCCACCACTGAAATCTGCAGGTATTCAAAAAAAAATCTGATTCAATTTAGGAATTAATCTAATTCAATTTATGTATCAATGGAAAGATCATAATTAGAAAACCTCTAGAATTCAACAACAGGATATCTTAATTGATAAAGCCTATGATATTTCATGACAGAAGTTTCTAGAAGAAAATATCATTATTAAAATTATCCCTTTAAAATGAAAATTTTATGCCAGTTATGAAGTTATATTTACAAAACATTACAACTACCAGCTAAGAAAAAAGAAATGGCTAAAAAAATGCACCAATATTTCAAGAAGAACATTAGATTACAAATTTTGTACAGAACAGGAACAGTGAGCTACCCTTCCTCCAAATATCACTACAGGCCTCCCTGTTTACACACTGGAAAGCATCTCCAAGAGAATTTTTTAATCTACAATCAAGTTAAGCCTAAATATCTGCACTAGTGGGATAAATCAAATTATTGTAAATCTAGCAAAAACAACAGTCAGTAGTTTCATGCACTACTTATAAAAGCCAGAACACTTCTTCAAGTTACCTTACAGTACGTCAAGGAGCCAGAGGGCCACAAGAATTCAGAAGTGGCACGGTTCCCACTATTCAGAATTTCTATGTGTGTCCTGCCTGCAAATGTCTTCTTCCCACAAATGCAGCCTTTGGAGTCTGCAGCTCCTTCACTAATCTTTATTAGCCTCAACTGAAGAGGTGCAAACTCATTTTTCAGACATTTGTAATTTGGAAAAACTTGGGGTTTTACAACATGAACAGCAAAAGGCATACACTTGTCAGGGACACTGCAGCAAAAACATTTAACAAATAAAAACCAGAATATTTTTAAAGAAAACAAAGGAATTTTTTTCCTAAAACAGCTAAAGAAATTTGTTTTGCTGTTTTACTCTCAGAAGCAATACGAATTTTTTGTGTCCTTTGGAAAAAAAAAATATCATTTTTAATAGACAGTTTCAGGCAGAAAGATGCTTGGAGCTTGCTAAAGATTAATTAATTAACATGGTCTTTTGTAACATGAAGTCTGTCGCAATGGCAAGTCCACAAATAACATAAGCAATCACTTTATCTTAAGATTGAAATCTGATGTTTTTACCAGACCACAATTCCATAATTTATACAAACACGCATAATCTCATACTCAGAGTCAATCTCAGAGTCATGTCTGATTTTAAATTTGGAAAGGATTTGCACTGTTAATTCAATAAAAAATGTCACATCCTTACTTGTTGCTACTTGTCTCTTCTGAACAAAAGCTTCTCCCAACAGCTGTTGCTTGGGAAACACCAGCTCAGTGAGGCAGGATGGGTGCAAGATTTCTGCAGGAATGTGTACTTAAGTGCTGCATTGCAACATCAATATTCTATCTGGGATGACTCTTGGCTGACTGTACTATCAGACAGCAAAGAGAATCATTTCCATGAATAAAAAGTTCAAACGTATTTGAAAATGACTGTTTCAGGTTATAACACACTGATGATCACTATGAGATCAGCAGGCTATTTTGTGATCACATCCCAGCTGGACTCTATTGACAACCAACCTATTTAGAAACTATCTTTATTAGAATTAAAAAATGACATTCTATTCAACTGATTTACTGTATGTAACTATATTACAAAATACAAGTATTACAAATAATGTGAATTTACCACACATGTCAAGCCTGTAATATTTTAGTATATCCATTTCCTTCTAAGCACATTCTTTTTCTATTGTATCTAGTACACATACATAAAAAGTGTTTAAAGAGACTTTAAAAGGCTTTGAAATTTAACAGTTAAATTAAAACTAGAATATGATGAATTGAAACAATGGTTATTTCCCTAAGTGATACTTTTCCTCTGACAATGTTCCATTACTTTCTCACTTTATAAAGCAAGTATGATGATCAGGAATAAATTGCACACAACCAGAAAACAGCAGCATGTCTTTTGAATGACAGACAGACAAGGCCAGTGTCTGGGTTCAAATGATCAGTTGCACCTAGGTCACCAAAACCTGATGGCGTGGAAAGACACAGTAAAACAAACCTTGAACAACGCAGTGCATAAAAGATAACTCAGCAAGAATTCAGGTGATTTACCTGACAGTAGCATTGGGTCTTTGTCAACAGATTTGCGGACTTGGTCTGACTCTCCAGTTAAAGAGCTTTCATCAATTTTAAGATCATTTCCTTGAATAAATATCCCATCAGCAGGTAGAAGATCACCTTTCAGTAAGAACATGGTAATGGAAAACCACAGTGGTTTAGTAAGATTTTTTTTTTTATATAATTACATAATGATTTTTATTATAAAATCACAATTAACAACTGCAATAAAATGTAAAATGAAAGCAAAAATGAAAGAACCACGACTGTATCTGAGCATATTAGCCACATTTCTGCAATCCTATTGGGAAGGGTCTTCGTATTGCAAATATTTTTGCTTAATGTTCTCCCAGAATCAGAACGAATCACATTTAACATATGATGCACATAATAATCACTGAGATTTGTCAGGGGGAGCACTCTCCTTAACATGACATGAAGGTTTCTCTACCAGACTTCACAGGAATTGACAATGGCTAACAAACAGTCAAGCTGCCCTTTCCCCTCCCTCTCCCCAGAGCCCCTAGCCAAGTCCAGGAGAAACTGGAAGATTGACAGAACCGCCATTTTGCTGGAATTTGCCAGCTCAGTCAAACACGGGGGACACAGATCCCTGCAAAAGTCTCCCTGTTCACTGGAGCACAGGGCTTTCCCTATGGCATACCATTTTAAGGCATCCACCTACTAGAAGCATTAGATCTGGAGGGACTGACAGCATCCATAGCTCTGGAGTAGCCTACCAAGTGGGGTGAGCACACAGGCACAATTTCCTTTCACAGAGCATTTAAAAATACTTCCTCTTGCTCCTAACTGGACAGAAAACAAAAATTCCCAACAGCGTAATCCTCCACGAAGGAGACTTACCTTTGTATGAACAGTTCTTGTCCTTGTCAGTGAATGGAAGTGAAGATTACAAACATAAAATTAATTACCTAGTGCAATTTTATAGCAAGTTTCTTAGGTTCTCCTTTTGCCCTAACAGCCAAATTGTTATCTTACCACGGGCAACAATGACACCACATAATTCTCTGTCTTTTAAATCACTTCCAGTGAAATAAGTCTACTCTGCTAGAAAGGGAAAGAAGAATAAAGTTCAGAAAAGCAGACATCTAGTTGATGGAACTTACCATATTTCACCTGTGCAATGTCACCAACTACTATCTCTGCCACTGGGATTTGGATAACCTGTCCACCCCGGACAACAGTAAATTTCTGTTCCTGCTCAATACGACTTTGAAGCCCACGAAACTGCTTCTCCTTGCTCCAGTCATTGAAGGCAGTGACAAGTACAACACAGATAACAGAGAGCAGGATGGCAGCACCTTCAATCCAGCCAGCTTCAGCCTCACCTTCATCTTCAGCTCCTCCTGTTGCAGTACCACATCCTGCAAAGACAATGTTAAGAACCATTCAGCCAAGTGAAGATCGGGTTTATAATTTTTATGACAAGAAAAACTTGCTGTGAAATGACAACAAGGTTAAGGAATAGAACTGCTTTTCAAAGTACTGTCTGCTAAATGAAACCTGGCAGAATAGAGAAAAGTAGAAATAAAGATGTCTGATGAAAAGAGGAAGAAAACAAATCAACAGAAATTTTAGACCTTTTAATTTTTGTACTGTACAAGTGTTAATTCTGAATTGCTTTATACACATCTGTTAATTATTTATTTCCAAGTAATATGCAATTAAAATTTAAATAATTTCCTAGATAGTAGTCACAGAATAAAATGAATATAAATCTCCTTAACAAAGTAAGACCTAAAAGAAGATAGTTTATAATAGTGGACAGTAAAGTACACATACTAATATCACACAATTCAGAGATATCCCAGCTGACAGGTACGAAACAAAAGAACTCTGTCTGAACAATAGAGCCTCCTCTCCTGAGCGAGCAAGGGAGAAAAGAAATCTTTTAATTTTTCATGAAGAGCTGAACTTGGTAAGCATTTGACATCACTTTTCCAGGTACCAGGGAGTTCAGTAACTTAGCAACTGTGCTGCTTCCATCTGTGACAACTGTGCTGCTTCCATCTGTGACTAAAGTTTAATTTTGGTATATTCGTCATCTATCACTAGAGGGAATTAACAAGCAATTTGATTTCTATTTTTAAGCTGCAAAGATTTCCCTGTAAAGTAAGCATCATAATTCATTAACCAGCTGACTAATTACTCTGCATATGAACAGCAAGAAAATTACCAAAGTCAAAGGAAGAAAGATGAGACTGAACGTCCACTAAGTGAACAGAAAAAAATTAAAATAAATGGAGTTTTTAGCAATGTTCTCTGTAGTTTAAATTTAGACTTAACCTAATTGAAATGCAAAGCACACTCCCAAGAGAAGGGGCTTTCCTAGTAGGGATGCCCTTAGACTGTTGACCCACGTGAACCTTTATCTGCAGTACAAGAACCTGGCTAAAGAAACCGTTTTTATAGCACCCAAGAAAGAAATTAAGTAACTTTTTCTAAGTTCAGTACCTTAAGCTACTTAAAACCAGTTGCAAATGCAAATCACGTCTGCAATTTCTTCCTTCAGCAGAACATTAGTTTTGGGAAGAACTAATGAACTTTGCTGTTTAACCTTAATCATCTTAATTGGTCCATGTTAGATTTTAGATTCCTTTTCCAAATCAGTAGATTCACTTTTGCTTTGTTTGGATTAAGTGGTTTCCTAGTACAAGTAATTCTGTTTTGGCAAATATAAGACACAAATTCGCTATTAATTTTTCATTAGATAACATTAAGTACCATGAACATCCTACTCTTTTCAACAGCATACCTCCTCTCCTATTTCTCACAAAAGAAACATGGCCTGGTCTAGTCAGAATCACAGACTGATTTTATTGCCTTTTTAGATGGCTGAAGTTCAGACCAGCTTGTACAAAGCACAACCAGGCATTGTTTCCCATGGTGATCCTGTGGTGCAGGTTAACCTGCACCAGACACACGCAGGCTGACCCACAGAGGTGGGCAGCTCAACCCTTCAGCGCCTTTAGGATTGCCACTGGGGTGGTATTTATTTACTTTACTCTGCAGCATGCTTTATTATGCCTTCAATGAATTTCTTGGATTTCTGCATATGAATTACTGACAATTTATACCATGATATTTTCCACAAAATCCAGATTTAACGTTATGTAATACTTAAATACAAGTTTTTAATTTCAGCCGAAAACATCAGACTTCCAAAAGACACAAGCTGTGCTTTGTCCTTCATTATAAGGGTCCCGTTACGGCTCCGGACATGTGTAAACTTTATAGTATTATTAGACACGTAGACTATCCTCTCTCTACATCAGAAAGCTACCAGTTTTGAGAAAATCATTGCTATTATTCCAAAGAACCGATAGGCCTGGTCACTGTCTCTGAGATGTGTCGGAGAAACAAAACGACAGATAGTCAGTGGACTTGTACCCAGTGCTGCCACACCACACCTTGAATGGCTTGGAGAGTAGTATTTCTGTGATCCTTCAGGGAAAAAAAAAAAAAAAGCAAGCTTCTTGATTCAGTAAAAATAGGTAAAAAATATAAATATTCATTGACTTGAGTAATGAAATTTATTTTGTGTATGTGTTGTCAGAACCGATATCCATGTTAATATAAACAATACCATTCCTAGTATGTTCATATAAGCAGAAAAAAATAGTCTAACATAGCACATAAATAATACGAGATGTTATCATCAAGATGAAAGGAATTGTGTTTACCTGTCTCACAAATTATGCAGAAGCAAAGAACAATTCACTCCTCATATTACACCTGAAAAAATGTTTGTAAGACTGAAAGAAAACCTGGAGAAAACAGACTGAACTTAGATCAAGTTCTTTGAAAGTGTCCCTAAATTTGACAAGCTTCTGCACTGAATAAAAACTCATGATTTTGGCTTTTAAAAGCCTGAAAAAAATCTCCATAACCCAATGGAAACAACAACAATTCAAACGCATTTCATTTATTCTCTATTCATTCAATCAGACAATGCTAAATTCAGATGGAGGAAGGTATCTGGAGAGGAGGAAGGAACTCTTGGTGTGAGAACCAGGAGCAGAGAAATTAATTGATTGACATGGTCAAACCCAGCAGTCAGTCTTTTAGACAGATGGAAGAAATGGTGAGTTTCTTTACGGATTTTAGAACTGGTCAAGATTCAATCTGGCTTCTATAAAACCACAAGTGTTCCACAGTGATCCATTGGTCCAGGTTATCTGACACACTAAGAGGGGAAGTTCCCATAGAGGTGGACAGGTAGCACAAAGCAGATAGCTCCCCCCGTTTCTATTTAGTATGACTCAAAATTGAAAAGGTCAACTGCAATATGGGAGAGACAAATTCTTTTTTTTTTTCCTCTCCGTCAAAAGGATCAGATCTCAGGACCACAATTTCAAAGACAACAAGGATGTCGATAGTACAGAAATGAGAACCTTACTCACTGCCCTGCAGATTCCCAGCCTGCAGGCTGGCCAACCATGTCCTCTCCTAAGCACCATGAGCACGTATGTTCCTGTCTCCTCTGATTCCCTCATTTAGTCCCACATGTCAGTGTGTTTCAGGTTAAGGAGGCAGCAGAATTTTAGCTGTGTAAGGAGTTTGACTGTAAAGGACCAGATATCTCCAAGTTACAGCAGCAGCTAAGCAAGGCTTTTGAATATGTAAGATATGCAGGTAGGTATTTGTAACAACAGCTGAGAACTGAAATTGCACGTTTTGTGGCTCTAGCCTAATACAAGTAAAACCAGGCTCTTTAAATGATTAACCAAGGTGATCATCAGACTTTCCCAGATTTTCCCTCTGCTTTTCACAGTCCCACAGAAATGAAATGGGTCAAAAGTGCTAGATAAATTAACGCAAAATGTGGACAACATTCTTATTACAGGAATAAACTCTAGCAACTTTGAGGGAGTAAATATCTACCTAGTTCTTACAATAATAAGATTTCAGAGTTTCAGGGGTTTTTTAAACAGAGTTTTACAGACAAGTAGGATTTAAAAAAGCAACCTGCCTTTCAAGAGCCAACCTATCTGTCAGGAAACATTTTTTTGAACTATGCTGTCTTCTTGTTTCAAAACTAATTTACAAGTAGTCCCTTTTAATAGCAAAAAAAATGGACTTGCATCTCTATTGGTGTAAGTTTGTAGAATTCTTTCTTAAGTATGTAAGACAAAACTTTTTTTTCTTTTTCTTCTGCCATTATATCACACAGGATTTTCTAGAAATTCTAGAAAGACTTACATGAATTTACAGGAAGAAACTGTATGTATTCATAGGAGGAAAAGAACCACTTAACTATACACTTGAACTATACGCTATAAAACATACGTACTAACTGTCCTACTTATTGCAGAACACAAACATAGACTTTACAACTAAGCGGAAAATAAGGAATATAAATAAGACACACAAAAGACAAATAATATGCTTAAGTATAAAAATATAGTTTAAAGCATCTAATGTTTATTAAGCATGCTCATATAAGCTTTAAAAAAAAATTGTGTTAAGGTCTAAGATATGTCTTCACAAGATAGTACTTAGTTCCCAATGTTACTGAAAAATATGCCTGAGATTTTATTAAAAGGCATAGACTGAAAGCATCACAAAAGAATTTTTAATATGCATATGTGATTTGTGGTAGGGTCTTATTCCAAGACAGTGAATTGTGAAATAGTTATTTAAAATTATATTTAACAGAGGTCTCATCTGGCAGAAAATTCATTTTCAAAAAAGTAAACAAGTTTTTAATATGAAGCTATTTTCTATCACAACTATGAAATATGCCACGTATGTGTCATTCCCCAAAGCCTCATCATCATGAGACAAAAAATGCATGCTCAGTTTGAAACTGAGATTATAAAGATTTGACTGCAAGTCAAGAATGTAAAGGGCTGTAACTCCTTTGGCACAGAAAAAGCAGATGCAGTCATAAAATGGACTAGGTTATTCCAAAGGAGTGTTCAGGAACATACAGATGAGACGACACACACACCCCCCCACACCCCCCCCCCGAGAGGAGTGGGAGGACCTTGACAGTGTGGCCTCAAAGAACATTCAGAAATACAAAAGGGGACTAATATGATTGCGTCCTCCATAAAATACGTCAAAAGTACATTACCAAAAACTTGTGGAAGGAGAACAGAATTTTAAAAGCCTAAAATTGGACCAGAAATAGGTCAAATACTGTTGAAAATGCTTTCTACAGAAGGGAGATGAAAGGAAGATAGAATCCAAAGGTAAAGAGGATTCAGGAAAAGAAGAATGGGAAAACAATTCAAACCAACACACGCAGTCGGTCCATCTGAAACCAACCTGGGTTTCTGTCTCATCAGAGATTGTGAGCCACCTGGGCACAAGAGCTACGGGCAACAAAACCTACCCGAGAACCTGGAAAGTTGAGCAA